CAGGAAAAGGTAACAGGCCGCGCTCTGGGCCTCGCGCTTCCGCCTGCGGCTGCGGTCTCGGGAGGCGCTCGCTCCCCGCACGTCCTTGGCTCCGGGTTTCCCGTCGCCTAAGGGCCCGACCCCCTTCCTGTCCTCTGGGCCGCTAGTCCTTGGTCTGGGGTCCAGCTCACTCCCGACCTGGCTCGGGGAAGAGCACTGCCTCCAGGCCGCGAGAGAAAGTGCTGGGAGAAACTTTCGTCACGTGCTTTTGTTGTCTTTTGTCTGGAGCCCTTTGACCTCCGAGCGTAGGGGAGGGTGGGGGAGAGAGAGGTGACACACTTTTAAATTGTGAGTAAAGTGAGTTTTTAAACTTACTGCCTGCAAGAGTGCGTGGGAATTTTTTGGCAGGGACCGCGGAGAAAATGGAAATATTAACCTTAGTGATTTTTAACTTGTTACCTTCTAAACGTTGCTAAGATGTATACTTTGTTGCACTTTGTTTGATTGCATTTAAAAGTTGTATGTAATGAGATGCTTCATGTGCAGTTTCAGTTTTGGTTGCTAAGTAGTTATCAAACCGAACGCCAATTTGTTAAATGATAAATTAATGTATAATAAATGAATTACAAACTACCAGTGAAGAGGGGAGAAAGTTTTGCATTTCCTAATGGTATTGTACATAAATAAGGACACTCTATTTAAGGAATACAGTTTTATTGTTAATTCTGAGACTTTTCCGTGGTTTCTTTGGTATTTTAGGTTCTGTCTCCTGAGCCTCCAAAATCCTGATTTGCTTGGAACCACCTGTTGAGATGAACTTTGGGGATCTTTCTTACTTTGGTCTAGTTGGTTTAAATTATTGTATTTTCTGCATTGAGTTTCCTTTTCTGAGCCATTTTTCTCTAATACCATATACAGCTGTTGAGTTTCAAACTTAACTGGCTTTCTTGTCCCCAAGATGGGAGTTTAAACATTCAACTAGTTTGGTGTGTTATTAAGACATTGACAGATACTAATTTTTTTAAGGAGAAAAATAGAAAAGGAAAGAAAAAACAGCTCTCATGAAACCTTGTTCCTTTTTGGCCAAAGCTATATACTTTTTCTTTTGTTATTCTATAAAGTATGAAAGAACCCTCAGCTTATATTTCCATTGTCTTTAACCTGTAGTAGATTTTTGTGTCTTTCGTAGTGTAATGTGTGTGCATAATGCTGACTTGATATACCTTTATTTGGCATATTAAAAAATGTCCTTAGTTTTATTTTAATGGTAGTGTGACTGAAATACAAAGGATATTTGTAAGGGTGCTCTGAACAGCTTTCCAGTATGGTGTCTAGTTCACATTTGAACAAAGTAACTGCTTTTTCAGTTACAGTTAAATGGGAAACAGTGACTTCTCAGTAGATGTTGACTATGTTACAAAATAATTTGGCGTATTTGTCACAAGTCCCTAAAATTATTCCCAGTTTATGATAAAGCACGTTAGTAAATAGACTCTTTTATAGAAAGATCTGCTTCAGTGGATAAAGAGGCCACAAAATAACACCGAGTTAGGTATCGATCCTTTAATTATAGTTTAGTACAAGAAAACTATTTAGTAAATGGTCAATTAAAAATTTTTGTGAGGGACTTTAAGCTTTAAAGCCAGCCTCGTTCGTTAATAGTGGTACCGTGAAATTTTGTAATGTAGAAGAAAGCTGACATTCCAAGCATCATTGTAGTTTTACATGTGTGTGAGGTTTAGGATGCCTCTGTGTAAGGGGAGTCATCCATGCTTTGAGCTCTTACTCTTTCTTGACCTGGCTTCCATGAGCCCAGGGATGGTACCTGGCTAGTTAGACTCTAGATGCAAAATGTAGAGATGAATCATTACACACAGTGGATGCTTTAGGCTTAGGGCATACTTTTCTCTGGGGACCTTAGTTGAGATGAGCTCTTAAGGTAATGCAGTTTAAATGTTGCTTATCCACGTTTTTGTTTGTTTTTTTGAATTCTGCTAAAGAGCATAACAAGTTTTACTTTGATCCTTGTCTGCTCTTTCCTTGTTTTCTCCTGGAGCACAATGCCAATAACTGAAGACATATATGATACAAGAAAAGATCAGATATTTAACATTGTTCTGCTTTCTCTTAAAGAGTCAGTGCTGAAACATTAACAGAAATATCTGCAGCCAGTTAGCAGTGTGGTTAAGGCTAGTGGTGTAGAAGTTAAAGCAGCTGGCGTGTACAAGGCCTGCTGTGCTGTTCAGTCCTGGACTCTGTAGTTGGAAAAACACGCCTGGTGGGTGTGCATGGGTGCCCGTAATACTGAGAGGAGGAGTAACTGCCGTGGGGCGATTTCTTACCACTTCCCCACTATCTCTAGTGAGAGCACACACACTATAACAAACAAAACTTAAAAGAACATTTATAATGTTTTTTATTGTTTCTTCTTTTTTTTTTTTTTTATTTGCTAAAGGGTTTCATGCATTCTCCAGAGAGAGGAAGAGAAAGTGAGAAAAATCCCCTTGAGGGAACCAGCAGTTAGCGTAAGGGCTATGTCTCTGGACTCCCACGTAGTTGACGGCAGTTCGCGTCCTGGACCCGGTGGCTTAAAACTCAGCGCCGGGTGCGTGCGCGTGCGTACCCAAGATCCCGAGAGGAGAGTGGAGGAGAAGGGATTGCAGCGTGACCATCCCCCCTCGCTTTCTGTCTCTGTGTCTCTCTGGCGAGCACATGCGTGCTGTAGCACGACTGGGGGGCACATGCGTGGGTATAAACCAAAACCCTCCCCAAAAAAAAAAAAAAATCCCCTTGGGGGGATGGCCACTCTACAATTCTTGATCTTCCTTTTTCCTCTTAAGAGTTTTGAGAAAGGGGAGAATGGAGGAGAAGGGATTGCATCCTGGCCATCCCCCCGGGGTGCGATTTCTTACTTTATCTCTCTCTGTCTCTCTCTTTCTCTCTGCGGAGCACACACGCCCTATAGCAAACATTTCTCTTAAAAAGAAAGAAAAGTTTGGGCATGTGCACAGGTGCCAGACATGTTTTCCAACCTGCCAGGTCCAAGACTTCCAAGTGCGTAGTTGCCCATGTGGGGATCCAGCCACCTTAATCATACTACCAGCTGCCCCATTTTGTTTATTCTAGGAAAAATATGTGTAAGAAAGGTTCCTTGCAGCTTTGTTTATAATAACTAAAAAAAAGTAAGAAATCCACTATTAAGGGATAGGTTAAATAAGTCGGAATCATGTGATGAGCTTATGCAGTGATGAAAACTGTAGAACAGTCCTAGCTGCTGCTGTGACACAGTGCGCTGCAAGGCTGGAATCCACATGGCCAGCAGGGTTTTTGATCCCTGGTGGGCTGCTGAAAATATACTGGGTAAGCTTTGGTGCCCAGGAGCCTGAGAAGCTGGAGAGCTGAGAAAGGGAATCGTAGAGAGAGACCGTGTTGCGGGTACCCCCCTCCTGTGGGAGCACAGGCATTCTCTATCATTAAAAACAAACTATGTAACTGTGTGTAGTATGGTTCCAGTTGTGTTTTTATAAATATTCACATTTTACATAGGAAAACATACCATTGTTTCAATTTTATTTCTCATTTTACCTAAAACTTTGTGAGACTGAATGGAATTTTAGTTTATTTAATTAAGGTGATTGGGCCAACTGGTGATGTGGTGGTTAAGGTGGCTGGCTCCCACGTGGCCGATTGCGCAGTTCAAGTCCTGGACCTGGCAGCTTAAAAAACACACCAGATATGTGTGCGTGTGATTGCCCAAAATTCTCCAGAGGAAGATAGAGGGACTGTGTGGCCATATCCCCTGGGTGACACCCCCGCCCTCCCCCTCCCCCCTTTGGTTGCTAAGGCTGATATTTCTGAAACTGAGAAATGGCTCTTGGCTGGTTTGCATACTAGTTAAGCAGGTTTATTTTTTGGTTACTCCAGAGCTGGTAGATATAATTAACCTGGAGTGATAATTGTTTTCATAGGTTTATTTGCAGAATAATAGTAAAGATGGAAAATTCATTAGAATAATTTGTTTTCTGTTGAGTGCCTCATGTAATTCTCACTTGGAGTGTAGGAATATCTTATATTATTTTGATAAGGAAACCTTGGAGAATTAAATGCGTTAGCAGTATTTTAAATTTTCCGTGAAGCAGAACAGCTAGTTTAACTTACTGGAGGGTTTTCATATTTCTCATGGTAAGCTAAGCTACAGATAGTTTTAGAAACTGTCAGCCATGTATCCTACATGCCAGCTGCTCTTCTCTTC